AAAGAACTTTTCAGTTTTTCCCCCAAACTAACCGACTGAGTTGAGTAAAGATGCAGGTAAAGTTAGCTAAAAGATGACTAGCTAGCTAATATCAATACAGCACCTGTAGCTTAACAAGTAGCCTGTAGGCTACCAATGTTATTGTCTATGTCCATTTTGCCCCAAAATAGTCGTGTCCTGTGTGCGTGTGTGTGCGCGCGCGAGTGTGTGTGTATGACTTTGGTCAATCTTCATGACATCATCTGGATGTCATTTCCTGTCATTGTTTAAAGAGACAGTAATAATTCTGTATGTAAACTTCTGATTTTGAAGACATTAATAAATAAAGTGCTAACATTATTTCTCTCATTATTGTGGCATTTGGCAATGATTTAGTAAATAATTTAACAACAGTAAAAATAATTTAGTAATTGTAACTGATCTTAAACAGATCTGAACTTCAGACAGTGGAAAAATAATGTGAGTCTTTGTATTTGGTGTATGTAAACTTCTAGTTTCCACTATTAGCTGAGGCAGATATAAAACCACAGTAGCTGTTGGTTGTGAGGCTGGATCTGGGCCTTGGATGTTGGTGTGGCGTTCGTCCTGAGCTCCTGTTGCTGCGCAGTCTGGGCGAGTCATTCAGACTTTAGCTTTAAGCCGGGTTCGCTGCGGGTTTACCTTCCCCTGACCTCGGCTGCTTTTCTGCTGTTTTCAGATTTGACACTGGAAGAGATGGCTTCATCGACCTGATGGAGCTGAAGATACTGATGGAGAAGTTGGGAGCTCCACAGACTCATTTGGGCCTGAAGAACATGATCAGGGAAGTGGATGAAGATTTTGACGGCAAACTGAGCTTCAGAGAGGTGAGAGGGAGGTGAAGATAAAATGAGATTGGCCTGTGCTTGTGCACTGAATATTGAAATAGTCATTGAATTCTTGCAGCAGTGCTAATGTGTATAAATGTCAGAACTATAGTAGGCTAAATGTTTGAGCTGAGGCAGTACAACATCCTGAAAAAAGCAGAAGTGGTGACTGTGGATTACTTAGTAGTTCCACTGGTGGAGCTAACTGTGGGCCAGTGTGAGACTGTCTCAGTATAACCTATGAATACCATTATGAACCCTAAAAACTAGGGGAAATGTAGAATGCCATGTAATTTAAAGACAGAAAAGTGAGAATTATTCCTACGTCTGCCGTGATATTGCAGCAGCGTGATTGATGCAGACTCGCAGCAGGACAGTCACTGCTGTACCATTGATGACATGACAGAATGAGCCACTGCAGACACATTTTATCCATGCTCTTCCAGCAATAGATCTCCTGGCTCGAAGAAGTCTATAATCTATCAATTTAGTCTTTTTCTTCAGTTGTTTAAATTCCATCAGGTATATTCCAAGTACACAAAGTTTAACCTCTTTCATCTTAAACAATTCAGATAGACTCCTGATAGCACCTTCCAAAATCTCTGGGTTTTAAGATGCTTCCACAGACAACGGAAAAGAGTTCCTTTTTCAAAGAAACATTTTGTGCAAGTATCTGGAATATCACGGGACACATAATGAAGCCTAACACGTGTTACATACTGTGGGTTCTCATAAGCCATTTATATTACAGAAGTTTAAATCCTGTGTTTGTTTTTGTGCCATATCTGATTCTGTATCTAAAATGAAATAAAGACTTCCTCCTTGTCAAGTCCTCTGTGACTTTGGCTGTTATGTTTTCATGGGCGTTATCCGTTCATGCTGGCCTGAGCCTGAAGCATTGTGGTCCAGGTACAGGCTGACGTGTCAGTATGGTACCTACACAAACACAAACACGCTGTTGAACGAGTTGGGTTGTTTCCCTGTTTGCAGTTCCTGCTGATCTTCCGTAGAGCTGCAGCTGGAGAGCTGGAGGAGGAGAGCGGCTTGATGGCTCTGGCCAGGCTGTCAGAGATCAACGTCTCCACTGAAGGGGTCATGGGGGCCAAAGACTTCTTTGAGGCCAAGGTATGCTAATAGCTTGTTCTATTCCATGGAGTTAATCAGACCACTGTGTCATTAAGAACTGTTTTCTCAGACATTGATATGTAATCCACATATTTGATACGAATGAATCAGTCTATACATTCTATTACTGTGAAGCTGTCTACAGATTAATTTTACATTATCTTTTACTTAGCAATATAGTTGCTAAGTAAAACGGGAACTACATATGAACATCTCCACTGAAGGGAGAAATGTCTTTGTGTGTGGTTGGATGTGTGTGTGAATGAGTGAGAAAAGGCTCTGTGTTAGATTGAATTATTGTACAGAGAAGGTAATCCTGTGAGACTGGGAAGCATTTCCTTTAGTGGTGTGTCAGTCGATCAGCTGCCAATCATAATTGGCCGATTTCCATGAAAAGGTCTATAGTCATGTTCTTCTGAAACTATAATTATCCTCTACCCTGTAGCGATAAGCTCTTTGTTTAGCAGAGATATTATAGTTCATGCAGTAAATATCAGCAGCACTTCACTTTTTCCACATTATGTTGCAGTCTTTTCCATATTGTATTAAATTGATTGCTTTCCTCAAAATTCTACTTATTATGACAACGTGGGAAAAAAAGTTCTTGAGATTTTTTATAAATTTATTAACCAAGAAATTAACAAAAGTAATTCACGTGATATTAAGCTGTTTCCACTGATCATCCTGGAGCTGTTTCTACAGCTTGAATGGAGTCCAGCTGTGGTGAATTCAGATGATTAAATAGACGGGCGTCTGCCTTTACAGATCAATTCAAAGCCCCTCTGTTGACCTGCACTGTCTGCTGTGGGATCTGATATTGACAGGTGTGTGTGCCTGACGGTGTTTTGTCCTTGTGTGTTTTCAGGTTCAGGCTCTGTCCCAGAGCAGCAAGTTTGAAGCTGAGATTCGAGAAGAAAAAGAAGAACGCAAGAAACAGGAGGTGGAGAAGAAGGAGCGACAAGCTGCCTTCAAGCAGCTGCAGTCGGCCTTCTGCTCATGACCGCTGCAGCTTCACCTCAAGCAAATGTGTTGAAATTTAAAATGAGCTTACCACTCCACTCACACTGTAAGAAGCAACATAACTCAGAACAATAAGGTTTAAAAACCGAAAGGAAAGATGAATAAACGTATTTCATGCTAATGTATTTGAAACTAAATTTCCTGTGAAATCACAGGCCACTTTTCCATAGTTTCTGCAGCTACTCAACGAAACTCTAACATGCAGAACCATAGCTTCGGATGTGTACAATGATTCCTGGTGTTTTTTTTAAGTTTCTGTTGATCTGAATGGCTAAAGCTGCATTTCTGTGAATTTGTTTGGAAGATTTAACCCTGAGGGAACTCTGAATTATTTTTATTCATCTTTTCTACACTGTGTGCTGCTTGTGAAATATGTTTAACATTCCAGTTTTTCAGGGTTTGTGTCACCTGATGATCTTTACCTTAAACACGTTCCTAATTGTAGTGTGAATTTCCCTACCTTACATTTCCTACAAAAAAAGTGTGTTTAAAAATAAGTTAACGAAGCACTAAGGTCACATTGTGACTGTATGTTTTTGAACAAACTGCTCCTGTAATTGCTGGAGAGAATTAACAAAATGCGTTTGGCAATGATTTATGTATAAAGTCTCCCATCTCCATACTGTCGTATTTCATCATGAGGGATTTTCTTTGCATTTATTAGAACTGATTTCACCTGTCAGAGAACATCCCAGGTGTTGATGATGCTACGCTGCTTTTACTAAAAGTGATGTTTAATTCCACAGAAGGTGTTTGAAACTTTTACCTCCTTTATCGCAGAGTTTGCTTGAAATGACTAAATCCCAGCACAAAGTTTATCACTCACGCTGAACAATAAGACTTGTTGTTTGTATCCCACATAGTGGTTTCCCTCAACACACATCTAATGCATTTTGCGCACCTAAAGCAATGTGAACAGTAGACTGCATTTTCGGACTTTATTTCAGTCATACTGAGGAGCTATCCCAGGGTTACTCTGTGTCCCTGCTGTGCTTAGACAGGTACAGAATGACAAGGTCTGTTAGTTTTAGGCTTGATGTGAATCAACCTGTGTATCCTTGCAATTTGAAAACGCATATTTTTATGTTTTGGGCATGTTTGTAAGAGGCTGTGGCTGTGGGCATGTATATTTGGAGTCGTTAACACCTGATGACATAAAAGATTAAAGACGTAAGTAAGTTCTGAGAAGCAGCACAGGTTTCATTTTTAAAAGCACATTCAGCATTTGTTGCACAATTTCGAAATGCTTGGTGGAACTAAAAGTAATTGTTGGGGTTGGAGAAGGCTTCTGACTCACCCAGTCTAGATTTGGTTGGAGGTCCGGCTCATTGGTGTGCCGCTGCAATGAAAGCCAGATTTCTGCATGATTTGTTTTCAGCCAATAGGAAGGGATCTTTGACCTTTTCTCGCAGTCGATCTGATGTCAGATTATAGATGACTGCTGAATTCTGTTTCGTCTTGTACTTAGTGACATTGAGCTAGCAGAAAGCATGACCTTCCTGAAGTGGGATGCAGCTGTTATTACCTGTGTATTTCTTGCCATGACGTCACAATCTGCTGAAAATAAATTCCATTTAATTCCACAGACAAGAGCTGCAAGGTTGTAGGATTAACTGTAGTGTGTCCATAGCAACGTGTAACAATTCCAAACTGAGACTATGTTTAATGTAACGTTTCCAGTATTCATTGTGTAAATTGATGTTTCTTTTTTTTATTTCTTTTTTTTAAGGTTAAAATCTTTGTTTGATTTATCAGAGTTATATGATGCCAAATAATAAAGTGGTAAGTGAAATATATTTTTAGGCAATTGTATAGAATATGTTCTACCCTGTGTGGAATGAAACATTTTAACTTTAATAAAGGAAACTAAATCATTATTGGAGAATTGCATGTATATGATCCATCATATAGAACCAGTCGTTCCATTTTGCATTAGAGGAGTTCATGTCGTAACCGCCTGCTGGTCTAAAACCACATACACATGAAACCTGGTATATGTAAAGTTTGGTTTGATTTATATTTTGGGATGATGATGATTTGTTCTAACTTGAACAGAACATCAGCATCATAACTAGAGCTCACTGAAATCAAATTTTCTACACACACACGCATACAGGCTTGATGTGAATCAACCTGTGTATCCTTTCAATTTGAGAAAACGAATTGAAGGCTACAATCTGAATCCTTTTCATAAAGTTTACAGTTCTTATTAAGACAGGAATACCTTCATGTTACAATATTTGAAATAAACCATCTTTTTTGTCTAAATGCAGTCAGTTGAAAGCTGATGCATGTTTCAAACATTTTGTAATTGTAATATTGTATTTCCCACAAGTAGAACATTTTCAAAATCTCTTTTTCTTGCACTGTGTCTGCAGTTTAGCCTCCCTGATCAATCAATCAAATTTTATTTGTATAGCACATTTCAGCAGCAAGGTGCTTTACAACATTAAAAACAGAAATACAGAGTCATGTAACATTGAATAAACAGTAAAAAATAGATAAAAAATAAAGATGAAAACATTAAAACCCGCAC